ACCAATGGATGTCCTGGGGTCTCAGGGTTGGGTTTCTTGTGGGAGGTTTCTTGTGGACCGGCCTCCACTGTAGACGTTTTGTTGTGCCTCGGGAGACCGTTTGACAGTGGGGCCCCCCGGTCACACGTGGGGCCAGGGGGAATGCGACAGTGGTGGCCCAATGTCAAGCGGGGAATCGGTTGGTCTTGGGGCCCATTCGACGGTGGCGCCAACTGTCGACTGGGACCTGGTCTGGGGGCCACTTCGTGGTGGGGCCCACTGTCAAATGGGGAGCTTGGGGGCCATTTGGCAGCGGAGCCCATTGTCAAATGTGAAACCTAGCCACCTGGGGAGCGTCCTGTCCGTGGTCGGCCCCGTGGACGCGGAGCTGTCCCGGAGGCTAGGCGCGGCGGGGCCGAGTTCGAGAAGCTCGCCGCCTTGTTGTCGCACGCGGCCCTTCCCACCCGGCGGAAGATCCACATTTTCGAGGCATGCGTCCTGAGCAAGCTCCTGTATAGCCTCCACGCGGCCTGGTTGAAGAGTACGGAGCTGGCCAAGCTGGATGCCATCCATGCTCGGTGCCTGCGCGGGATACTGCGATTTTCGCATTCGTGCGTGAACCATCAATTCTTAGACAAAATATGTGTACTTTGCCAGAAGTGCACGCGAGGGTGACAAGCACCCGTTTTGCCGCGCTGTTTTCAAACCTCATCAGAGGAACGATGGGATTTGGCACAGCTGCGCAAGCGGAGTCGACCGCAACAGATGTGGTCGAGGGAAAGGCTGAAGCATGCCCAACATTCACGCTCGTTTTAAGAAGGTTGTTGCTAGACACATCGTCCAGGCTCTCTCCGATCAGGTACACAAGTTCTTATTGGTCTTGACACAATCAAACCCATCGCAGAGCCTAAACGAGCCGGGTCTCACGGAAGAAGCCATCGCAATATTGTCAATCATTGTATTGGCATTGGAGCCAAAATTGCGGTCGGTTTCTTCCGAAGCCTCCAGATTTCTTGAAGGCGGTGGAGCAACATTCGGAGTGTATTGACGCGTTGTGCAAGCTTGCCATGTATCTTTGGCCGATGGTCTTGGATCTTCCGCCTTTTTGAAGAGCTGAGCCTGTCTGCTGCAGGTTATCTAGGCACCGAGATCGAGGAACCAGACTTCCGCCTCGTGTGTGTGTAGCGGCGAGGTGATATGCTTAGACGTGCTCCGAAATCCGATAGAATGAGCAGATGTACCTCTGTTGTTGTCCGTCGCCCTGATCATTTTAACTGGTGCGTTTTTTCCCGCACTGTTGTTCGTTCCTTTCGAGTGGCCCCGCCTTCAAGTCGCACTTGTAGCTGAAGCTGTGCCCGCGCACAATGGATTCCAGGCAAAAGTCCACATGGAAAACAATTGTAAAGGGCAAGCGTCCTCAGCATGGCAGATGAAGTTCACGTGCTGACCTCACTGCTTGACCCTGTATGTGATGGAGTCTCCGCTGTTGCCTCATCCGTTTGAAAGTTCATCGTGCATTGGTTTCTCAGGCCATCGCCCATCCCCTGGAGCGCCCATCCCTTGGTTTTTCAAGACAAGCTCTTCCGTTCCTCATCCCCCATCCCCCTCTTCTCCAAAATTGTTTGGGATAATGAAGCATGCCAGTTCGCCCCGCGCAAATAGGGTGCTGTCTGACAGGGCGCAAATTCCATTCGTGGGTTTCCCTAGCAGGTCCTCAAGTGAGGGTGCGGGGGGCTGTACGTATCGAGCCCCGAAAGGCCAAGACTTCGTCCACCCATCATGCCACGTTCTTCCTCGAGATCCCTATTATCATCCCCTTCCTCGAGCTCCATATCACCATCCCTATCATCATTCCTTCTTCCTCCGTCTCCACTTTCCCGTCCTCCGCCTCCATCATCTTCCGCTTCCTTTTCTCTTTCTCCTCCCTCTCCCACACGCTTCCCCCCCCCCCCCCGCGACCGCCCTCGCGAGGCCCTCTGCAGCCAGATCCTGTCGCGCGTCAAGGGGCCAGATCGCGGCGCCGGTGGGCTCTCCAAGGCCGTCTCCAAGGTCGTGGCCAGGCCGAGGTCCGTGATCCCCAAGGCCCGGGGTGTCGCTCGCCAATTTGCCGCTGGAAATTCTAGACGGCTCACGTGGCCCCGCCGCCCATCCGGAAACGATGCCCAGACCAGTCGCCTTGATCAGGGATGTGGAGGAGCATGCGGTGGAACAAAGGGGCTGGGGAAAACATCATACCCCAAGAGAGGAAGGATGGAGGAGGAATCGGAGGAGGAGGCGGCGGAGGATGAGATCGATCAAAGGAGGGGACGTATTGCATCAGGTCCCCCCTTACCCAGGAGGCCAACATGAGGCCATAACGTAGTAACATCTATGACTTTGGTATTCTTGCCGAGGCGTGTTGGGTGCATCTGGGAGCTTCTTGGGACCTCTTGGGGGGCCTCCTGCGGGCATCTTGGGGGCCTCTTCGGGGCTTCTTGGGGCCTCTCGGGCACCTCTCAGGGCCGTCTTGGGCACCCTTGGGAGCTTCGGGGGCCGTCATGGGGCCATCTTGGAGAAGATCGATCCAAGGAGGGGGGCTCCTCCATTCGGGTCTCAGCCCAGGACGCCAACTTGTGGCCAACACCTTAGAAAAATAAATGGTGTGTGCCGTCTCGCCGAGGCCTCTTGGGGCGTCTTGGGTGCCCCTGGGGAGCCTCTCGGGGCGTCTTGGAGATCTCTTGGGAGCCTCTTGAGGACACCTTGGGGGCACCTTGGGGGCATCTTGGGGCCTCCTGGGCACCTCCCAGGGCCGTCTTTGGGCATCCTTGGGAGCCTCGGAGGCCATCTTGGGGCCATCTTGGAGGATATCGATCAAAGGAGGGGAGCTCCTCAGTTAGCGTCGCCCCCTCAGGAGGCCAACATGTGGCCAACACCCTAGTCAAGTCAATGATTGTAGCTTCTTCGCCGAGGCCATCTTGGACGCTCCACCCCCTCGCGAAACCTCCCGTCCAGGTCCAGGGGTAAGGGGTCGGGGGAGGGGTCAAGACACCCAGCTCGATTGCAAGCCGTCTAGCTCACTCCCACCCGTCCTCCCAACACAGAAGTGAAACCCGAGCCTCAGCATGTTCAGCGGTCGTCTTTGGATGGGCAGTTACTTGGAACCAAAATCGAGCCCATGTGCGCGACGTTGGGGCGAGGCGCGCAAAGCGTGCCAGGCGCGCCACGCGCGCAAGGCACCCCTGGGGCCTGAGCGTGCCAGGCACGCTTGATCCACCAGATGCGCCACGTGCCTCCGCGTGCGCCAGGTGTGTCGCATGCTCCAGCCGCACCAGGTGCGCCACGTTCGGGGCACGTGCAGAGTGTGTCAGGTGCGCCTGCGCACGTGACAGCACATCGGGAAATATGTCGGCCCCACCATCCTTGTCGAAAACCAATGCCAATCATTGTGTCTGGTGGGCCTGCGTACAGCAGGCCATACGCCACCACCCCCGCCGTCCTTGTCAAAAACCACTTGGCAGTGATCGCGGGGTGGCCGCACATGATCCAGATTTCGCCGCGAGGTGCATTGTGTATTGTTCCCAGCCATCCTGTGGTGATGGGTCCTCGTTTTGAAGAGAGCGCCCCGCGTCACCTCCTCCTCACTCCTCCTCCCCTTACTCCTCCTCCTCCTCATCGTCACCATCAGCATCATCCCACCCATTTTGGCACACCCCTCACACGGTTCGTGGCCCCACAGGGAGCTCCACCGAAGGACTTTGTGGCACAGGCCGCATGCGGGGACCGCACCCATTTTAGCCCACCATTCACACGGTTCGTGGTCCCACAGGGAGCTCCACCGAAGGCCCCAATGGCACAGGCCGCATGCGGGGACCGCGCCCATTTGGGCACACCCCTCACACGGTTCATGGCCCCACAGGGAGTTCCACCCAAGGCCCCAGTGGCACAGGCCGCATGCGGGGACCGCCACCAATTTTGGCACACCCCTCACACGGTTCGTGGCCCCACAGGGAGCTCCATCGAAGGCCCCAGTGGCACAGGCCGCATGCGGGGACCGCACCCATTTTGGCACACCCTTCACACGGTTCGTGGCCCCACAGGGAGCTCCACCGAAGGCCCCAGTGGCACAGGCCGCATGCGGGGACCGCACCCATTTTGGCTTTCCTGTGGCTCAAGCCCACCCCTCTCCAGATTTCGATCCAGATTCCGATCCGACCCCTGGTGAGCTGCCCAGCGACCACAGGTTTTCGTGCTAAGTTTTTCTGCTACCTTTGTGATGTCTTCCTCGGCAGGTGGCAAAACACGCGCGCCAGGCACCCCGGTCAGGCAGCTCTTCAAGGATCCCCTTCAATCATCTATTTCTCCATCCTCGCCGCAGCCGACTGGGGGGAGGGCAAAGCAGCATCGGATCCACAGCCCACTGCAGGAAATGGACGGGCTGGACGACTTCGCGTACACGAGTGGGCTACAACATCAAGCTCCGGCGCGCCAGCTTGACGGCGATGGCGTTCAACCGGAAAATAAAGGCAAAGGAAAAGGCGCGCCCGTGACGACGATTTTTGAGGAGATGGACGGATTGACTGTGAACCAGTGTAAACACATACTACGCGAACAACTACATCCTATCCACAACGACATTCAGGCCGTAAAGAAGCACGAAATTTCTCAACAGGATCTTCGGGACGCAGTGCAGCCCCTTCGTTCGGCCATCAACGAGATTACCAATAGGGTCTCCGCTCTCGAAGCTCACCCGTCATACCCAGCATCTGCTGGCATTGGGTCAGCACGCAGCTTGGACAGCACAATGGAGGTGAAAACCAACGAGCTCGAGCGCCAAGCAGCGGCACTCACCACGAACTAGCAGGTGGAAAGAAATGCAGTTGGGAGGCAGCCGCTGATTTTCTGAAGCAGCAGTTCGCACGTATCAAGCCGCCGGAATACGTAGACATCTTCACGAAAGGAGATTTCAACAGCATTATATTCGTGAAGTTCAGTAACAAAGATGCCCGGGATAAATTCGTCAACGTTGTTGGTAGGACGCAGCTTACACCTCTGGAACACCATCTGGACTAGGGCCGATCAGCCGATCGAGAAACGAGTGCCAGAAAACTTCTTTGTTCGGGTTGCGCAAGCTATTTCTGGAGGTGGGGTACAGCAAAGCGGAGGTGCGAGTGGATACCGCCAACTGTGTCCTCAACGTTGCCAAAGACCCAGTTGTCAAAGCTCAGGTCGTGAATAATACGTTGCACATTTCCTGGGAAGGCGTATGGAAAGACTGGGAAGAACTTACCAACAGTCCTGAAGTACACCACCTTACTTCAAGGGCGAACGATGCGCTGGGCCGGTCTACGACGAAAGGCAGTGGAAAGGGCAAGAATGGGGGGCCGGGTGTCGGAATAGGAAATACGACGGCGCACTGGCAGCACCACAGCTCGGGTGGGCAAGTGGGTAACATCCCCATGCCGGCCGGTCAGGCGCGGCAGGATGGCAACGTGGAGTGCCAAAGGCATCAACCTGGACCTGCCGCACAAGCTGTACGAGTTAATTAAGCACATGCGTGATATGGACATCGCGGTGCTCTGTTTTCAAGGGACGCACTGCAGAGGGTCACCGGTATTCGATTTCGAAGGTTTTTTTGTTTTTCGATCTGGGAAGGAGGAGGATGAACGAGAATATGCGGGAGTGGGGTTTATTGTGTCCCCTTGGGCAAAGCACGCTGTCCAAGGCTACATCCAGAAACAGAATCGTCTGGCGAGCCTGCGAATAAGAGTTCCTGGGGTGGGGGTCTGACATTTGCAACGGCATACGCCTACATAAACACAGAACAGTATGATTATGATGTACGCCGTGATTACTATTCTGACTTGGCCGCGTTTGCTACAATATGCCGGTCGCGTGGGCCAACTATCATACTCGGCAATTCCAAAAACAGGCCTGAAGCACAAAAATGCTCAATTCGACGTGAAGGCATTGTGGAGCCAGGACACGAAAGACATGTACATATCCAACTTTTCGGAGGAATGGCGAAAAGGTGCGCGCGGCACCTCTTGAGAAGATCGCGCTTCCGCAGTAATACGGTGCATGTTGCAATCGGCTTCTGCGTGCACACCGCCCTTAACAACATCTCGACTACGTCCTTGGATATCGGACCGCGCGTTCCACTTGATCGAAGAGCGGAACAGAACACGACGACATGGGCAAGCTACCCACGGTGTCACACAGAAGAGCCTCAGCAAGAGGATCCGAAAATCTTCCAAGGCAGACCAGACACACTGGCATACAGAAAGTATTGCAACGCATGGGTGGGAGGCTATCAAAACATTGCGGAAACTGTTGTTACGAAGTGCGGCGGCTCCAGGATGCCGAAGGTGAATTGGTAGACGCATCCCAGCGGGCAACCAGCATGGCAGATTACTTGGAGACGGTGCACTGGCGAGCACCGGAAGACATCCCAATGCCGGACCAGCCACTTCAAGATGGATATCTGGACGTTGAGTTGGGACCGATCTCGCCGGAAGTCAAAGAGGCATTGAAGCCATTTCGTATACAGCGCGCTGTTGGGACCGATGGGGCGCCGCCAGTACTATGGAAATGACAGCTGGATAGCGCGGCCGCAGTGGACACATTGACATCACTACGAAATGCGTGCTGCGAGGCCAAAGACATCCCAGAAGAGTGGAGAGAAGCATCTGTTGTACATACTTTTTAACAAGGGGGGCGCATTCCAGCCTTCCAATTATCGGCCGATATCCTTGCTCACAGTGGGATAGAAGATATTTGCTAGCATCTTATTAGAAATACTCAAGCACGGAGGGGCTGATGAAGCACTACGGGAGTCTCAATATGGGTGCACTTTAGGCCCGGGCAGGCATGGGTGAGTGCTTCATAATGTACGCGCGCGGACACCTTGGAAACGTCGCCCGCGCATGCAGCTCGGGGCGCAGGGGCGAAGAGAGGGGGGGGGCGCCCCCCCCCTTCGCTGCCCGCGCCGAGGGGCTGCGAGGAAGGGGGGGCGACGGGCCGCGGTGGCCGCGCTCGCCTTGCGATTTGATTTTTCTCGGGTTTCTCTGCTGTCTTTTGCGCTTCGCATCCATTTGCTTGGCGGT